AATTCGTAAAATCAAAATACCGTTCGAAATTAGTTGCATTCGCGTACCTGATAATTATTGAAAGTTATAAAAACTATCAGCTTTTGGTGTTCGCGTACCCAAAAAACTTTCAAAGTATGGAAATTGAGAGAGAAAAATTACATTTTATTTTGAGGGAAAGCTGCTAGTTTCTGCTGGAAAAATTTTTGCCAACAGAAAACAGCTGGTTGGAATTTACGCAAATCCCTAAATCGAATTTGATGGTTTGGAAGTTAAAATAGAAAAATGCGACTAATTATACTTGCAAGAAGTAAGTAATTATTCGTTTAGTCAGAGAACTGTGTCAGGATAAGACTTCGCGATTGGTTTTCTTATGTTTTCAAATTTATACTTTTGAATGTAAACAAAATTTCTATCAGCTGTTCGTCCAACTTGCAAGTTTCTGCAAATTTTCTGTTCGCGTACTATTTTGAATATTTTTCTCTTGCGAGAAAACAAATGACATTTCGCCGGAATTTTGCTGTTGGGCATTTTTTACTGGGGATTTTAAACGAACGTACCTATTGACTAACCAACATTTAACAGAACTGTTACGAACGGCTTTAACTGACGTAAATCCAGATTTTGAAAATTTGGCCAAAGAATATTTTGAATTTTCTTTAATATGTATCTTACGTGCATTAGGTCATAATAAAATTAATGTTTTTCACTTCTAATAATAAATTTTTATTTATTTATTTATTTAGTCTATGAAACAATATTTCTTACAGACTAGTAGATAAATGGTTTTGCTAATGCTAGTACAATATTAACATTACAAAGTATTGTGAAGGAGATTTAAAAAAGCTTGTTTTGTCATAGAGAAATCAATTATGATTCTTTCCGATAATATATTAAGTTCTCGCATAGATCTCGCCAAGGGAGCATTACTGGAAAATCTTGTCTTGACTTTTGCCAAGTAAAATGGAAAAGAGACTCGTAGATTGCGCCTGGGTACATTGAAGCTTATCCGTTCCAAGAGATAGGGGCAATCGACGACACCTTGAATAACATTAAATGTAAAGGTTAAAGAAAGGATAGATCTCCGGCTTTCTAAAGATTGTAAGTTTATCAGCTTGAGATGCGAAGCGTACGAAGGAACAGGACTTTCAAATTTCAGTGACCGAAGAGCATACTTAAGAAAAACTTTTTGTATACGTTCCAGTCTTTTTATAAAAAGTTGGCTATGTGGTCTCCAAACGAATACGGCATATTCGAGATGAGAACGCACTAAACTTATAAATAACGCTTTGAAAGTATATGGGTCAGAGAAATTAGTGCTATTACAACGTACAAAACCAAGTACTGAGTATGCTTTCGCAATTACATAGTTAACATGGTTGTTAAATGAAAGTTTCGGGTCAAATATAACCCCTCGATCTTTAATTTCGCCGACATTATTGAGAATATGATTCGATATGCAATAAGACGTATTGCGAACATTCGAAATCTTCGCAAACGTCATCTTAAAGCATTTATTTATGTTTAAAGATAAACGAGATTTCAGGCACCAGCGATGGAGAGCGTCAATATCGCATTGAGGCCTTACCTCGTCAAATGAATCTTTAATTATAGTGTATACCTTAAGATCATCTGCATAGAGTAAAAAATTTGCGAATGAGAAACAGCTACTAATGTCATTTATAAAAAGGACGAACAGTAGAGGACCCAAGACACTTCCTTGCGGCACCCCAGAGGAATCCACAAAAGAGTCAGAAGACACACCATCTATGGTTACAACACAGGGTCTGTTGGATAAGTAGGATCTTATCCATTCCAAGAAGCATGAATGAAAACCTAGGCAGGCAAGTTTTTCGACTAGTATACTATGAGGGACTTTATCAAAGGCTTTCGAGAAGTCCGTATATATACAGTCCAAAAGAAAACGCCTTTACGCAGTAGTCGGTGAAAACTGCTAAGTTTGAAACTGTAGACCGCCCAGAAACAAAGCCATGCTGGTTATGACAAATAAAAGATTTAGTAGCAAAGTACAGTTTATCTTTAACTACACACTCGAACAGTTTAGAAATAGTTGAGAGTTTAGAGATGGGCCTATAGTTCCTAACATCGTTTTTCTTACCACCTTTTAGAATAGGGGTTATGGAAGTAACTTTCCATTCATCAATAAATATACCTGAAGCAAGAGACTTATTAAAAATGATTTTTAGTGGTTGAATTAGGGCAGAACATTTTTTCAATAGCAGGGCAGACAGACCATCAATATCAGTTTGAGAAGAGGGTTTAAGGGAAGCTACCCCCTTTGTAATATCTTCAGTTGATAATGTCAGGGAGCCAAAATTAAGGCTCGAATTTTATTTAAGTAAAATTTGTTTTTCTTATGTCTCTTTGTAGCATTTAGAATTTACATGCGACTCTTCTCGGCCTCGGCCTTGCCCACCCCTGCCATATGAAATACTAATCACTTTCGATGTCAGGAGCTTTACCGATGGTCTTATTTCCACCTCTGAGATCTCTGCCAAGCTTGCGTAATCTTTTTGTATGAACTTGCAACTACAAAATTGGTCCGATGCGTAAGCCAACAAAAGTCCTTATAAGGAAACTCAAGAGTACAGATGTGCGTTTTCTATTATAGGAGGGCCAAGGTGCGCTTCCACAATTTTGCGGTCTTTCTATGCATACTTAACCCCATCCTTCATTTAGACATCTGAAAACTAAATTCGTATAACTTAAACATAGGGCCAAAGCAGACCAAACACATGGGGTTTCTAAACATTTCGGCTGCAGCGCCATCGATTGGGTTCATTTTCCGCAAAACCATTGCTTATCATAAAATGAATACGTATTACACCGGTCAACAATTTTTTTTCTTTGGGTTTCTATTCTCATGCTTAGATTCTCATTCCAAACATTAAAAAACACTTGAATTTTCATTTTTAGTTCTTAAAGTTTGCTTTTGTCTGATTTACGTCGATAAGTATAAGAAATACGAAAAATATTCACTTTTAGACATTAATTTCTTGGTATTTTACATTTATATGTTATTGTTTATCACAAATTTTAAATAAAAAAGACTCTGATATCCAGCAAAAAATTTTCTAATCGTAATTTAAAGTAAAATTATAAAAAAATATAAAAATTAGTGATTTTTCCAGAAAAAGTGAAAAATTGCTCTAGTTCTTATAAAAGCAAACTCTGATCAAAAAATAATTTTTTCCTTATTTTTAGCGTAGGAGAAACTTAAATTTAACGTGTAGAAGTCAGACCCAAAAATCGTGTTGACTGGTGTTATCAACTTCAACCAGATTGCATAAAAAATACGGATTTTCCAAATACCTCGACTACAGCGCCACCCAGCTGTCCATTTTTATCAAAAGAATTTTTCATCATACAGGTACATGGCTCACATTTAAAATTTAAACGGAAATGATTAATTAAGACGACTTTTCTTAATAACTCTACTCCAGCGCCACCCAGCGGGATTTCATGTAGTATATAATAGGACCATATATGCAAGGTATATACAATTTGACTGAACTCTATCCAGTGGTTTTTGAGTTTAGTCCGAACAACGAAAACGGCTATCATTTTATGTATATATGTGTATATGATAACCAAGCAAGTGTGAACAACCGAACTTAAATTGAATGTCAATAAAAATAAGTTTGTGGTTATATCAAGACGAAATTTTGAGAGCAGTACGGTGGTAACTCTAAATATAAACAACGAAGCACTGGAAAAAGTTAACACATTCCTAAGAATAAAGATCGATGATAAACTGAAAAAAATTGATTCTATATTTTCAGTTAGACCTCTAGCAATATGTACATCAGCGAAAACCGCATTTAATTCCATACATTAGTTTTAGATAAACCAAAATTACAAAAACTGTTTATTTGGCTTCCGTCGATCTAATAAACCACGTACTCCTTATTATCTACTAGCAATTACCCGGCGTGCTTCGCTGCGCCTTAAATGTATTTTTGTGTTGTATTTTTAAAGGACTTTATGAAGTTAGATTTAAAAAAATCGATGTATGAAGCATTGTTTATGTTTTTTTGAGTTAATATATTTTCGAAGGTAATTAGAAAATATGTAAAGAACCGACTCTCTCTTGGAAATTTAATTTATAATCTTATAACTGGAGTCTTCTATCGCACCCTTTCCTCAAACGTGTATTAATTCAATATTCAAATAACGTATATTTATATAATTTGAAAAAATCTCCCTACTATACAAATATGTACAGCAATATTAACTCATATTTCCAAATGTTGTGAGAGGGAGTAATAAAACAAAATTACTTTTAAGGCGCAGCGAAGCACGCCGGGTATTCGCTAGTATAAATATACGTTATTTGAATATTGAATTAATACACGTTTGAGGAAAGGGTGCGATAGTAGACTCCAGTTATAAGATTATAAATTAAATTTCCAAGAGAAAGTCGGTTTTTTACATATTTTCTAATTACCTTCGAAAATATATTAACTCAAAAAAAAAATAAACAATGCTTCATAGATCGATTTTTTTTTAAATCTAACTTCATAAAGTTCTTTAAAAATATTTTGTAAATGGGGCCATAAGAGCTTAGGGGGAGAGTTACAACACAAAAATACATTTAA